TTCTCACTCCCAGGCCGAAAAACTTTGTCGAAAAACTTTTGAAAAATGCATGTTTTTTGCCAAAATTTAGTGCTAAAAGCACTTTCAAAGGCCATATTTCGGATCCTTTTGAGAACGGGCTAAAAATTTTTTTGGATTCGGATTCAGCATGTTCGAAAGTACCTTTGTACAAATTTTGAGAAAATTCTCAACCGTTGTCTGAAAAACCTTCCCTTGTCAGCTGAAACTTGGAACTTTTGTTCGAACTAAATAGTATGATGTAGAACTTGAAGACATCTACAGAATGGTAATAAATTCAACTATATCGGAAAACTGGGTCTTTAACACAAACCCATAAGACAGCCGGCCGGGGCTACCAAAGGCAGATTTTGAACCACCAGCTTTTTCACCCCTTAGGATCAAAACTTAGCAAATAAATATAGTTTAATTTGATATCATTTCGCAGATCCTGTCAAGTTCTAAATTTCATTTTTTGATCAAAAAAGAAATTCCAAGTTTCAGCCGATTTATGCCGCGGCCAATTGTCAGGCCGGGCGATGGCGAGCAAAGCGGCAAGCTTATGCTTTTCTAAGCCTTGTACCTTGTCGCACAATTGAGCTATCAAAGTTTTGTGAACTGATAAAATGTGTAAAATTTTATATACTTTAATTCTGTAGTTGTGCACTTTTTTCTATTCTTACTTATAACAAAGATATGATTTGATTTTGATATCTCAATCCCTAGTTTGGAATCTTTTTTCCAAAGTCTATTTGGCTCAAAGATCTTAAAATCTATAAATCTCAATAAACATTTCAAAGTTCATACTTCTTCTTCTCAGACTTTTATTCGAATTTTTTGAAAGTGCGACCTTCGCAAAATTCCTTTTTGCTACCTATTCAAAAAACGTCTGAAAATAATGTCGTTTTGTTCCGTTTTTTTCTCAGAAAATTCTGTTTCCTGTTCTTCTGATAATCATCTTCTTTTCCTGTTGTTTTTTTCAATCATCTTCTTTTCTGTTGTAACACATTCTTGGAACACTGAATTCTGAGAAATTTTTAGTTCCATAGAAAAAGAAAAAATTCAAAAAAGGGAAAAATACAAAAACGTTTTTCAGAACTTCTGAATTTCAGAATCTCAGAATCTCAGAATTTCAGAATCTCAGAATCTCAGAATTTCAGAATCTCAGAATCTCAGAATCTCAGAATCTCAGAATCTCAGAATCTCAGAATCTCAGAATCTCAGAATCTCAGAATCTCAGAATCTCAGAATCTCAGAATCTCAGAATCTCAGAATCTAAGAATCTAAGAATCTAAGAATCTAAAAATCTAAGAATCTAAGAATCTCAGAATCACAGAATCTCAGAATCTCAGAATCTCAGAATCTCAGAATCTCAGAATCTCAGAATCTCAGAATCTCAGAATCTCAGAATCTCAGAATCTCAGAATCTCAGAATCTCAGAATCTCAGAATCTCAGAATCTCAGAATCTCAGAATCTCAGAATCTCAGAATCTCAGAATCTCAGAATCTCAGAATCTCAGAATCTCAGAATCTCAGAATCTCAGAATCTCAGAATCTCAGAATCTCAGAATCTCAGAATCTCAGAATCTCAGAATCTCAGAATTTCGGAATATTAGAATTCAGGATCTCAGAATCTCCGAACCTCAAAATTTTTAGAATTTTAGAATTTCCCAATTTCTCAATTTTTGAGTTTCCGAACTTTCGAATTTCTGAATTTCTGAAAAATCAATTCTTGACCTTCATTTCATTTTTTCCTGTGGCTCATCCTATGAATATTCCTGTTCTTATTTGAATAGTTATATGTTAATCGTATTCTAAATTTTTCAAAGAAGTCGAACGACGTCTTCTTTTTTTGGTTCAAGAGCTCACATGATTTCTGAAGTGTGTGTCATTATAAATTTCTTCGTTTTTCTGAAATTTTGCTGAGCTCTCACTTTCTGAGCCCAATTAAAATTTCAAATACTCTTTTCTTCTTTCCGTTTTCGTCACTTTTTTTTTACTTTTTTCCTCTCTTTTTATAGCTAAAATTTTCAGAAAAACCTCCACATCTTCAAGAATCAGAAGACGTCAAAAGGTCGATAATAATCCAGATATGATCTAGAAAAGATATGCGATTTTTTCTACTCGCTCAATTCTTTTTCTTCTACTTTTCCTTGGCGGCGGTTAGCGAGAAGAAGTGCTCCAGGAATAGGTGAGCGAAATTAGCTTATATCTTTTGAATTGGTAGAGATAGAAAAAGTGTACAACTACAAAAATGTAGTATAATTATATATATATATATATCTCAGAATATATATATATATATATATAATTTATTGATCAGAAGAAAATATGGCACAAAAAATTAATTTTACACATGTTTGTAAATTGCAAAACTTTGATAGCTCAATTATGTCTCAAGATACGAGCGCTTGAACCTTATAACCCCGCCGCTTTTTTGTTACGCGCCGACGCATAACCTAGCTCAAACTTGGATTTTCGGTACCAATTAAAAACGAAAATGTAGAACTTAACAAGATCTACAAAATGATATTAAATTTGTCTGTTTTTGAAAACGGAGCGTTGCCTCAAAGACGTGGAAAAGGTGGATAGGCAACATCGCCACCAGGCGGCCCCGACCTCGTCTACACCGAACAGGCCCCACTACGCGCGGACTCATATTTCAGCTGAAACTTAAAAATTTTTTTTGAATCAAAATGTATAACGTAGAACTTGACAAGACTTACAAAATGAAATAAAATTCGACCATGTAGGAATGTGAAAATTTAACTCAGAGACCGTGAAAAAACAGGGTAGGCAAAATCGGTATTTGATAACTGAGTCCTCGCTTACGGCTTGCAGTTTCAATCTTGGCATTTGAATTTAATTGAATTAAATTTTTTTTTGTAGGTCTGTTCAAGTTCTATATTTTACTTTTTTATTCAATTTTCAATTTTGTGTTTGAACAGAGTTATGCGCCGGCGCTAAATGGGAGCCTGGTTGGTCTCCGGGGGACGATTTCGCCTACCCCTCATTTCACCATCTCTGGTTCAAAACTTGACATTTGAATATAGTTGAATTTAATATCATTTTGTAGGTTTTGTCAAAATCAAGTTTCAAGTTTTTTTTTGACTTCAGACAAAAATTCCAAGTTTGAACCGAGTTATACCGTTTCGCAGGTCACAGGTGTGGGAGCCCGGTTGACAAGCTTTGAACGCATTTTACTTTAGAAGCACAAAAACAATCAAAACAATGCCAACTGATAAAATTTATAAAATTTTACAAGCTTCATTTTTGTAGTTGACAACGTTTTTGCAGCTAGTCTGGTTTCTGTGATAACCCCCTCTGAATGTCTGCGCCTCTTAAGACATCAATATCTCGGCAATCACTTTAGCTAGCAAAAAGTTGTTAACTATTAAAATGTGTAAAAACTTATAAGCTACATTTAAATAATTCACAAAGTTTGATTATCTCTGTTAGCTTTTGAGATATATTGCTTTTTTCAGTATTAACCTCGTGAAAACTCATCGACACACTACTCACCGATTATGACACACACTTGTTGCCAGAGGCCGAAGGAGTCAATGTCACAATTGAGCTTCATGTGCAGGTATATTAGAGGGCCGACAGATTTCTAGGCCATCAAAAAAAATAGGCTAGTAAAAATAATAATTTTTCAGGGTGTGTCTGGAATTTCGGAAATCACTGGTGACTTTTCGTTGGATGTGATGTATAGTGAGATTTGGCAGGACCCACGGTTATCGTTCAAACATCTCAATGTTTGTGCGACTAATATTACATTGAAGGTGAGCAGCACCTCATGGCCTAGGCTTGGATTTCTAGGCCACCAACTTTAAACTTTCATAACTCGCTTTAGGAGTGAGTGTTTTGAAAACGGAAAACTGGATTGGAATGCTTACAACCCATATTTCATACCTCAAATGTTAAATCAACCTTTTCAGTCCGACTTCCGCAAAAAAATCTGGACGCCTGACACATGTATCATCAACTCGAAATCCAGCTCCATTCACTCATCGCCCAGCGAGAACACTTTTGTGATTTTGTACGAAAATGGACTCGTCTGGAGTAATTTTAGGTTTGTCTTTTTTGTAGTTTGTACTTTTGGCTAATTTGATTTGTGTTTCAGGTTAAACGTCAAGACGCCGTGCTCAGTGAATCTAAAGGTGAGTGCAGTTTGACCCCAATTATCTTCTTTCATTTGAAAGATATAAACATTTTTTAAACTAATAAAATGTAGAAAAATTTATTGGCTACATTTTCATAATTTTTCTATCTTAACTAGAACAAAAGATATCGGCCTTTCCATCTGGGCGGCACTTGCGACCGCACAGCTCGGCGGGCGGCACATTTCGACCCCAATTATCTTCTTTCCTGTGAAAGATATCAAAATTTTGTCAACTGAAAAATGTAGAAAATTTTATTAGCTACATTTTGTTAATTTTCAAAGTTGTTCTATTATAACTAGAACAAAAGATATCACCCTTTTCATCTATACGACGCTCTACGCGCTTGCAACCGCGTAGCTCGGCGGGCGGCACATTTCGACCCTAATTATCTTGTTTCCTGTGAAAGATATCAGACTTTCGTCGACTGATAAAATGTAGAAAATTTTATATGCTACATTTTATTGGTTGACCACTTTTTTAAAATTTTGTTTAGAACAAAAGATATCGCCCTTTTCATCAGGAGCTCAGTGTGTAGCAAGCGCCACTGCGCCCACAAGTTCGATTCCTCGAGAGGAAAAATCCTAATTTCAGATGTTCCCATTCGATTCTCTTTCCTGTGAAATTGTCCTTGAATCCTACTCATTTAACACCGACGAAGTACGATTGATGTGGCACGATGTGCCTATAACAATGATGGAGAAGGTAAGTGCGCTCTAAAGAACAAAACCTTTTCCCTTGGATTTTCAGGTTGAGCTACCGGACTTCGATCTAATTGGATGGTCAACAGACCATCAGCGGTTAGAATATCCGAATGGAATATGGGATCGAGCGAAGGTATGACTTTTGAATTCTGAATCATTTTTTGGGTTACTGTAGTTATGTATAGTTAGGGGTCATGGTGTTTTTTTTCAGACTAGAGTATCCACAAAGACTGCGTTTGTAAGTCATTGGCAGCATGACCCTATATCTATACATATTCTTACCCCTGAGAAAACGGTATTGTGTGTAATGCACCTGACCCTACGCACAAATGCACATTTGTGGTTTTCTTTTTAAGGCTCATAACTCTTGTAGCAAAAAAGACAGAACAAAATTGTCCATTAATAAAATGTACCCTATAAAATTTTACACGTTTTAGTAGTTTAAAAATTTTTGAAAACTTGAATTTGAATAGTTTTGTAAGCCCTTGAAGCTAGCGCTCCTCTTTCTGGCACTGTTTTTCTTTAAGCGCATATATCTCGCGAACGGATAAAAATATCAAAAAGTTGTAAACTAATAAAATGTTTAAAATTCAAAAAACTACAAATTGTTAGTTGGCACTTTTTGTCTACCTTAAGGAGTTATTGAGATGTAGACGTTGAAAGTAGGAGCCTGCCCGAGCGGTATACAAAGTGAGGAGCGTATAATTTTCAAGCTCTTGTATCTTGGCACACAGATAAGTTATCAAAATTTTGTCAACTAGTAAAATAGGCGAAATTCGAAAAACTACATTTGTGTAATAATTACCTTGTTACTAGCTAGTTTCGTTTTTGAGATATGACACTTTTAAGACAAGCACCACCACCCACTACATGAACCCGAAAAGTCATGACTATTTCTCAATTTTCAGGTCAAATTCACATTTGCACGTCGCTACGGTTTCTACCTTTTCCAGTCCTATTTCCCCACATCACTTACCGTAATCTCCTCATGGGTCGGATTCTTTTTCGACGTTCGCAGTGTGTCGGCAAGAATCACACTGGGCGTTTCGTCGCTGTTAGCGCTGACATTCCAGTTTGGAAACGTTTTAAGACACTTGCCACGTGTCAGCTATATCAAATGCCTCGATGTTTGGATGATTTTCTCAGTCATCTTCATTTTTTGTACATTGGTTGAATTGGCGATTGTTTGTCAGTTGAATAGGTAGGTTAACACTATAATAGAGTGTCACCCAACCAGTCAACTTTGAGCCGGTATATTTCGGTTCCTGTCAAAGAGACAAACAAGTTGTCAATTGATAAATTGTTTATCATAAATTACCGTAAAACCTCTAATAGAACGACACCCGGATCGTCCACTTTGAGCCTATATATCTCATTTTCTGTGAAAGATATCAAAAAGTGACTAACTAGTAAAATGTTGCTGATATCCTGATAAACATTTTACTAGTTAACCACTTTTTGATATCTTTCACAGAAAATGAGATATATAGGCTCAAAGTGGACGATCCGGGTGTCGTTCTATTAGAGTGTTTACGGTATAAATTATGATTAATAATGTAACAAACATTTTATCAGTTCCCACATTTTTGTTATCATTTATAGGAACCTAGATAAACAAGCTCAAGCATCTTCAACTTTAATAAAAGCCTATACGTGCACTTTGAGCTCAATTATCTCGGTTTCTATGAGAGATATCAAAAGTTTGTCAACTGATAAAATATTGGTGATAACATGATTAACAATTTATCAATTGACCACTTTTTGATATCTTGCACAAAAACAGAGATAATTGAGGTCAGAGTGAAAGGGCACTCTAGGCCGCCAGCTGCCCGCCAATGGCCCGTTCTATCTCTCTTTTGTGCATAACTCGGCTCAAACGCAAAATTTCTGATTGAATCAAATTGTAAAATATAGAACTTGACAAGGTCTACAAAATGATATTAATTTCAAATATGCTCTGATGTTGTCCTACAAACCAGGAGACGTAAAAGCAACCGGGTCAGAGGTCAAAGTTAACGGTGTGGGTTACAATAGGTTACTTTCCTTTTAGGTTACAATAGGTTACTTTCCTTTTAGGTTACAATAGGTTACTTTTTCCAATGTTTTGATTCTTTCAAACAATTGAAGCAAACAAGAGAATGTCTTCCAGATGGGAGCGAGAACGACAAATCGGCTCAAAAGTGCTCGGTCACTGGCTGAATCAGATTCGAAAAACGCGAAAAAAGGAGACAAAAGGAGAGGAAGGAAATGGTGGAGGTCTTCTGCGGAAGCGAATGCAAGGTCTTGCTCAACTGAAGACCGACGCCAATGCTGGAAGCGGCGGCACGACGACTACAGCGATTCCAGCGCCAAATTCAAATAATACGGATAACAATAAACTGGTTGCGAATAACTTTGCATCGGTGGGTTTAGCAGAGCGCGATTGCTAACTTCTTACATTTGAATTTTCAGATAGAACACGATACCTACGCCTACGAGAAAAAGAGCGGATTCGGTTACCGTGTTCAGCAACTCGTATACATGTTGTGCCCTCCGGATCGCGACTGGACGATTACGAGTGTGCAGGTGAGTCAAATAAGAAAAGGATGGCGCTATAGTTGAACGCGGTGGTGGCGCAGTGACGACGCTTTTGCCTACCATCCACAAGACCAGAGTTCGAGTCCGCTGCTCGCCAAACTCATTTTTCTTCTTTTTTAAGACTTTTAAATTCATTTCAGGTTGATCGCTGCTCTATGATCATGTTTCCGCTGTCGTTTCTCATCTTTAACGTTGTCTACTGGTCAATTTATTTCATGAAAATGGATCGTCCTATGTAAAAATTGCAATTCTTCTTCATTCCCTTTTTTCCATCGAATTTTTCAAATGATGTTTTCCGCTTGAGACCAATTTGTCTTGTCTTTTCCCCGTAATTCCGGTGGTTTTTGAAATCCCACCTATTTAAAACAACAACCTGGGTATTGCTGTAGTTCTGAATAAAACAAGTAAGAAACTATCTACTACTATTAACAATCACCAAATTCTGTCAGTGAGTGTGTCCGTTTGTTCCCGTATCGTCTGCCCTAGCGAAGTCCTCAATGAACCAAATTTTCTCAAATTTTCACAGTTAAGCCGAAATAGCAGCGAGATGATGCCCGAGTATTTTATTTTTCGAAATGTTATTTCTGACGTCTTCTGGAGACGTTCTTCTATTTATACAGGACAAATCTTTAGAAAATTATTGAAGCAACTTTTACGTCATCTCCGTCTAACCGCCTAAATTTTTTTCTTATCCACGCTATTTCTGAGAGAAAGGTGATTTTGTTGAAACGTTATTTTAGTTTGGGTTTTGGATATTCGAAAGAGAACAATTTTGAAACAGGGAGAAAAAAGAGAATGCGATTAACAATAAGAATTCATATTTTAATGTTCGGGATTCTAAATCCTTGAATTTGCAAAAAAAAAAATTCAGAATTTGCTTCAGAATTTAAAAATTTACAGAATTTTAGTAATTCTGAATTACCGATTTTCTAATATCTAGATTTGTAAATTTAAGAGTATGAAAATTTGAGAATTTCAGAAGTTTTTTACGGATTGTTTTCTTTCATTTTCGAATTACGTTTTTTCTTGAGCCTCAAAACTCTAGATAAAAAGCCAAACCCCGGAAAGAACGTGGGTTTGGATTTTTGGACGATAAGTAAGTGTTAGATCATGAAGAACAGAACACTTTGGTTTAATTACTAAAGGTTTATCAGTTATTCTAGTCTTTTACACTACAAATGCCAAGCGGCCAGTTAACTGGGTGCACATTAGGTACAAAAGGGATTAAAGGTGAAAGGGTAGAAACGCGTAAATATCGGCAAAAAGTCTAATCTCCTCACGAATGAGGAAAACCGGGGTATTTATGCCTCGATTTGAAGCCATTCGGTGAATACGCGGTTGCGCGTCGCCTCCTGTGTTTGCGGACTTTGAGAAGTAAAAACTCTGGTCCTTAGAAAAAATTCTGGTTCTTAAAAAATTCTGGTCCTTAAATACTTAAATAAAAATTCTGGTCCTTAAATAAAAATTCTGGTCCTTAGAAAAAAATTCTGGTCCTTAAAAAGTGTTCATGTTAGTATATATTTTTCATCTGAAATTTTCCAAAAATCCGAAAAGGCTCTTGTATGAAATTCTGGTCCTTAGAAAAAATTCTGGTCCTTAGAAAAAAAAAATCTGGTCCTTAAAAAGTGTTCATTTCAGTATATATTTTTCATCTGAAATTTTCGAAAAATTTCTGAATTTCGTTATTTCAATGTGTTTTCAAAAGATTTTTCATGGTAGACGTTCAAAAATTTTTTTGAAAGATCATGAATTAATGAGCATTATTCTCAGTTGCGAAGTTTAGTAACTTCTAAGGAGTTACTCAAAAGGGATAAGTTTCTCAAGGTCTTTAGAGAAAAATTGGGATTTTGTGTTGGAAAGTGTTGAAATAGTCTTAAAACATCATACGTAGACATTTTACACAGACATTGATTCTTCTATTCGTTTTAGAAAAAAAAAATTAGACTGAGTTGTCTACTAATTGTTATGAGCTGCCGAAGCTCAAGGAAGCCTAGAACATTTGCTGTAAGCCTTCTTAAGAAGTTTCCTATAAATTTAACCGCAAAAGTGCACTCAGAAAAGTTATCAACGATATATTCCAAAAACCCTGAAAACGACGAAAATGTCTGAAACTAATTTCTCAAAAACTTGAATAGAGGAATCAATATTTGTGTAAAGTGTCAATAAATGCCATTTAGGGAATATTTTTGCTATTTCCAGCAATTTTTTTTTATATCCAAAAACTTGACATTTTCCATTTTTGAAGAGGATCCATCCTTGTGACGCGGTCTTAAAAGTGAACTTTCAGCCATGTGAACAGCTTTTTTATCAAGAAAAAAGTTCAATTCATGTACAGGGTGCGGCAAAAGTTCTGCAACCGAAGTTAGACGCAAGCCGCTAACGCGCTTTTCGTGCATTGATTATATGTTCATAGTTTTTCTCGTCCCTTCATTAGTAAATGTGCGAAGTTTCATGCTCATACCTCAATTTTTACAAAAATGGCACTACTTTCTGTCCGCCCATTTGATGTTTTTCTTAAACTTCTGGCACGCGCTTTCATTGAAGAGACACTGTTTAGCTTAATGTCAGAGGCAAAACTCAATTTTGAAATGTTTTATGTATAAATCCTTGGTTATGTATAAATCCACACTACTAATACGAAAATCATACTGCCTAATTCATGATCGAACATTGGATAGCAAATTCAGGCTTCCTAAAAAATGTAGCGCCTGCTGAGACGGCAAAACATGTTCAGCAGGAGTGCCAAGCCAATTTCTCAATTTTGATACCCGAAAATGAATGGTCTGTCTCGAGTCAGATCACAATTCGATGGGATTTTTTGCAATGTCCTTGTTAAGCATGTGTTCAAGTTTGTTTTAAAACAATTTTCGATGATCTCAAGAATATTCCTTCCGCGGATTGGGCTATTTTCCGGCAGACAACCCGCGTGCCAGCATTAGCGCAACCCGAAGAAGTTGAACCCCGTCATTAGAAACAGAGCTGCCAGAAAAAAAACAAGTATGATTCAATTTTGTCACAAATCTTTTTGTTGAGATTCTGTTAAAATTTGACCCGGATTGGACTATTTTCCGAGAAGTTATGACGTCTTCTTTTAGTTGCAAAACGTTTGCCGCACCCTGTAGTTCTCAGAATGAATAAATTTATTGAGAAATTTCAACTTTCATTGTTTCCTTTTGAGTGACTGAATTCATCTGTTCAACATGGCCCCAAGAAATTTGAATTTTTTGAATTCGATGGAACTCGAAGTTTTCGATTTTCATGATTTTTCCTTTCAAATATGGAACATACATAGGTTGCAATTGACAATAATGCTCATCAATTCATACTCTTGGAAATGATAAATCTGAACGCCTACCAGTAAACAACAAAATCTTTTGAAAACACATTGAAATAACGAAATTCAGAAATTTTTCGAAAATTTTCAGATGAAAAATATATACTGAAATGAACACTTTTTAAAGACCAGAATTTTTTTTAAGGTCCAGAATTTTTTTTAAGGGCCAGAATTTCCTACTAGAGCCCCCGAATTCTACCTTGCCCTTTTCAAATGCTACGTCTAGCCTCATCTAGAATATGTCTAGGTTATATTTTCCCCTCTGCCGATTCCAAACTGTCTAAAAACAAATCTTTTTCATCTTCCTCCGGTGCCTCTTGTTTTTCAAGACTCAAATTACTCAGTTTTGTCTTTATCCGTCATAGACGCCTCAAATCTAAATTAATCATTCTTTATAAAATGGTCAGCCTTTCTTCTTACATCCCCCCATCCTGAATCTCATTTCCGGTTTTCTAACTCGGCCCGTCGCCCCATGATTTTAATCTGCCTCAATCCCCATATCAATGATTATTTGCATCCACCATCCCAGTATGGAATGCCATAACTTCCAATGTACCCCAATTCCTTACGCCGTCCCAATTTGAACGTCTCCTTGACTCATCTATCAGGTTGTTCAAAAAGTAATGCGCGTTTTGTGCAAACTACTTTGACTTCCAGCTATTTTAATTCTTCAAGAGAGGCATTGAATCTTTGAGCATACGTTTCTAGAGAGTGGTCGATGATGATGGAGAAAAGCCTTCTCTTTAATCTTGTCTTGTTTCAGTTTTACATGAAGTTAAAATCAATCAAAAACGCGCATTACTGTTCGAACAACCTATTATTTCTCGGTACTAGTTTCACTTTTCACTTTTTAACTACTCTCGTCCGAAATCAATGCACGTTGCGGCCGAAAATTTACTCAAAATCGCATCGTCGGCCGCAGAGATCTAATTCAGAATCGTTTACATGAGTGTGGGAGCTAAGCTCCGCCCACCGTTGTTTTCTCGGCGCAAACAGGTCATGAGAGTAGTCATTCAAAAGCTTGTTTCAAATCGTATCCCTTTATTAGCATCTTGCTCCTAATAAGTGGTTACTGTAGATAAAATTTCAAATTTTCTGTAATCTTGGAAAACACGAAAATCTAACTTCTTATTTGGAAAATTTCAGTTCAAACAAACATTAGAACAGCTAAAAAAGAGGGAAGTTAAACTCAGCAAATTTTTGGCACATTTGCCGCTACTTGGGGCACCGGTGCCGCTGCAACGCGGTAATCGTGCCCGGGGGGTCGGGGCACGCATGCATTTTGCGTGCCGTTGCCGTGCCGTATCCGTGCTCATGTGTGCCGTTATTTGAAATTCTTTCCCTAAAATTGGCTCAATTAATTTCAATATTTTCTTTAAATTTAACAGTTTATTCGATTAGAAATTCAAAAAAAAAGAGTTACAAAAAAAAAAAGAAAAAACGATCATTTAAATCTGTAGAAAAGATTGTGTCGAAGATGTCGAATTTCGATGAAAGTACCTTTCCTACTCCTCTTCTCCAGCTTTATTGGCGTTGGGCTTGGCAGGGTGTTTCTGAAAGAACTTTAAAGATTATTTACATAACTAATTGGATGAAAACTCACATTTCTTTGGACGAATTGTCTTCCCGAAAATCCATCAGAAGTTGTCTGGCACGTTTTCACCGAAGATCAGCGGAACTGTAAAACATAGGGATTAACATTAACCTTTCGAACATTTTTTTTTGAACACTGTCATTTCAAAATAGTTCAGTTTTTCACATCTCGCCCACTTACATATTTAATTTGGAATATTCATCGTTGCTGGTCGTAAAATATCTTCTTCTTCTTCAGTATCCCCCACGGTTTGACGACTTCCCTTCTCGTCTTTATAACTGAAAAGATTTCCGACATCATTATTACTTGAACATCTCTCAACTCACCTATTTTCCTTCGGTGTCTCTTCCAACGGGACATCTGGTACAGCCAATGTGTGAAAACTAAACAGAAATATATTTCATGATTTTCCACCTGAAAGCCTAGAGAAACAAAACCAAATGCCATAAAACGGTGAAAAGTACAAAAATTTATGAAAATGAATGACAAGCTATTTTCGCAACATTTTCGAAACTCTATGGATAGAGACGATATGCGCAGGTGGTTCAAGAAAGGGCACGGCAGCGGCACGGAAGCGGCACGCCACATGCTTGCTAGGGGCACGGGTGCGATGTTCCAAGGGCACTTTCAACGCGGCACGGTGCCGTTTGGATGCGGATCCTGTGCCCCTCTGTGCCCTGGCGTGCCGAAAATTTGCTGAGAACCGGATATATCTGAATGTTCTAATCTGTAAATACGCTCGAAAGTCCTCGGCTTGCCCATCTTATGTGTTTTTTTCAAGAATTTAAATTTATTCCAGGACAAGTCTCTTGTCTTTTTCCTTTGTGATTCCAAATGATGTTGAAAATCCCACATTTGATTTTCAGCTATTTAGAACAATCAAACAATCAATATATTACTGTAAATAGTGCATTTTATTCTAATAAAAAAATTATTTCAGTGAACAGGCAACAAAAAAAAACAAGCAAATAGGATTAACAACTTCAACATAATGATAACCGGATAATTAATCATAAAAACAAAAATTTAAAGCGACACACTTTCGAGAAGACGTTTTGCCACGTCGACAAGCTCGGCGAGCTTCTCGACGTCTTCACCACCGATTCTGGAGCAAGATTCTTTGTCGAGGCGGCTGAGAATGCCACGGAGCGAGAGACGGACTTTCGAGGAGGCCTGGAAAAGAAGTTTGGGGATTCAGAATATGGTATTTTATAAAATTTGAAAATTTCGATGTCGCTTGTCCGAGTGGACTCCACGGGCTAATTTCTTATTTTCAGTAGAGCGTGCTTTCGAAACCCGCGAAAATTTTGAGTTTTTGAGCAATACCTCCTTCACCGACGTTTCCGACGCCACAAACTTGGCCAATTCCAGACGATCCTCAGCCAACCTCACAGCGGTTTCGACCACCTCGACCGCCAACTTCTCCTCCTTCGGCCACGTCATCTTTCCATTGGCCGCCGCTAGACTCTTCTCCATTAGCTGGATATACTTTTCAAATTCTGTTCTAGTCTCCGGGTTCAGAGTTTTCGGTTTTTTGAGCAACGCATAAACTCTCAGCGTTTTCGGGGATAGGGTCTGATGATTCGCGGAGATTCTGGCCAGCAATTTGATCATTTCCTCTTTGACCCTTTGATTTTCCGCGATTTCCTCCTCAGATTCCTTCTCTACCGTAATCTCCGCTTCCCTTCTCAGAATCTGCTGAGCAATCAGCTCCAAAACATCATCATCCGCTCCCCGTTTATTCATATCCAACAGCCTATGGTAGGCCTGAATGGCCTGCGAAAACTCGGCTACGTCCACCGACAACAGCATGTAGTTCTCCCAGACGTGCGGATGTTCGTAGTTGAACTTCAGCGCTTCCTGCAGTAGCTTCCATGCTTTTGGCTTTTGTCCGTGACGGATATAGGCGGCCGATAGGTTGTTCCACGCTTCGAAATGGTCCGGTTGAAGGGAGACGCATCGATGGTAGCACTGGGTCGATTCTTTGTAGTTCTCCAGCTTCCACGCACAGTAGCCAGCGTTGAACCAGGTTCCCAGTTGAATTGGCTGGAAAGAATTGAACATTTTGGTGAATTGAAAACTATTGGATATCTACCTAAGTCATGACCTAGAAAATTCAAATCTACGTCACGGCCTAAAAATCAAATCTAGGTCACGGCCGGAAAATTGAAAACTAGGTCATGGCCTTAAAATTGACATCTAGGTCATGACGTATGAATTCAAATCTAGGTCATGGCCTAGAATTGAAATCTAGGTCACGGCCTAATAATCCAAATCTAGATTATGACCTAAAAATAGAAATCTAGGTCATGACCTAAAAATTTGAATCCAGGTCATGGCCTAAAAATTCAAATCTAGGTCATGACCTAAATATTCAAATCTAGGTCATGACATGGAAATTAAAATTTAGGTCATAGCCTAAGAATTGAAATCTTGCTCACGGCCTGAAAATTGAAATATAGGTCATGACCAAATATTCCAAATTTAGATCACGGCCTAAAAGCTCAAATCTAGGTCATAAACTAGAAATTGAAAACTAGGTCATGGCCTAAAAATTCAAATCTAGGTCATGACCTAAATATTCAAATCTAGGTCACGGTCTAAAAATTCGAAATTCTAAAAATTCTAGAATTCTCAACCTGCAATTCCAGACTTCTTCTCAAATGTTTGTAAGCGTCCTCGTACTTCTTATCCATCAACAAAACATGTCCCAACGATCGATGAGCTCGCGCATTTCGATCTCCCGACAGCTCGATGGCCTTCAAAAAGTATTCCGGATTCCGGGTGATGTCGCCCAAGAAGACGTGCAACATTGAATCCGCGGGCTTCTGCTCCAGAAGACGTCGAATTAGCGATTCGGCCTTGTCCATTTGACCCAGTTGTTTGTAGCACTCGATGACGGCGTCCCACATTTCGAGACGTTCCAGAATGAGGAGGGCTTCAGATGTGCATCCGAGGGATTTCAGAATCTCGGCGAGGAGAACTGAGGATTGCCAGAATGGAGTGAGTCCCGAGGCGAGGATATGGGCGGTACGGGGAAGGCGATCTGAAGGGTTTTTTGTTGAAATTTGCATTGAAAATAAAATTGCTCACCTCCAACAGCTACCGTGTCCTCTACGCCTTGCTGCAGTTTCACCACCAACTCCGACTGCACACACGATCGATCCACGTGGCGACCGCGGCCTTTTTCCAGGTCCGCACGAGCCAGAAGAGCCGCTGCCTGGAAAAATGTGAATTTTCAGCTATTTTTAGGCAGTTTTAGGCAGTTTGAGCCATTTTTAGCCATTTTCAGCTAGCTTAAACCAATTTTCAGACATTTTTTCAGTAATTTTCAGCCATTTCTCTTCTATTTTAATATTTTGTCAATTTCAGAGCGTTGAGAGCTTGAAAATGAGCCCAAACAAGCCATAGTTTGGGTCCCATCACGAAAACTACAGTAATCCAAAATTATTTGAAAAATTAGGTATTTGTTTATACTCATTTTGAAGTCCTAATCAAGCTGAGAACGCTGAAGTTACTGGATTTTCACAAAATTTGGGTTTCAGCGATTTTCAGACAGTTTCCGTCACTGAGAACTTGAGAAAAGGTTCCCATCATGGAAACTACAGTAATTCAAAATCGAAAGTATCTAGGAGTGTGTTTGTACTCATTTTGAAGCCCAATGCAAGCTGAGAACTCTGGGGGTGCTGGATTTTCAGAAAAATTGAATTCAAGCCATTTTTCGGACAGTTTCAGCCACTGAGAGCTTTAAAAAAGTGGTCCCACCACGAAAACTACAGTAACCCAAAATTGAAAGAACCTAGGCATGTGTTTATACTCATTTTGAAGCCCGGATCACGCTGAGAACGCTAAAGATGCTGGCATTCTGCAAGAATTAAGTTTGAGTCAATTTTAAGGGCCTCAAAGATCTTGAATCAAAGCTAAACTCTTTCCAAATTTTGGTCGATTTCTTGGCTTGTCAATTTTGGAATTTTCCATGTCAAGAGCCTGAAAATGAGCCCAAACACGCACTGATCGCCGAAAAAAGTCAACTTTTTCGGCCAATGCGCCTTTAAATTCGAGTCATGTCAAAAAAAATGAGAGCCAAAGATTTGGTCCAAGCTTACCTGAATGCTCCAACACCGTCTCGCGGCAATAACCGTATCCAGAAACGGGCTACACCGTTCATGAATCAGAACATCGTGTCGATGAGTCGCCGATTCGTGTCGAGCGATCCATAGAAGACAGCAAAGCTGCGCAGGTGTCAGGCACCGTCCGTCGACTCTTGATGCTTCTGAATCCGTAGAAATGGCGATTTCCTCGAGAAGCGTATCGTCATTCAGACTGCAATTCTGTGGAATATCAGCATCTGTTGGTAGTGGAGAAGGCGACGATGAGGTGGGGGTCTGGAAAAAATCGATAATCAGGATTTTTGGAAAATCTTGAAAGCAATTTGTCCAACAGAGCGTGGTTGCGCGAATTGAAAATGTTGTTTTCTCAAATATTGAACTTTTCCATTTGAAGTTTATAAAAATTGGGCATTTTCGAATTTTTGAAAAACCTGAAATTCCTGAATTTTGTGAAATTTTGAGAATTCTGAAAAATCAAAACTTTCTGAAAATTCAAAATCTGTGAAACTTAGAAGTTTTGAGATTCTGAATTCCAAGAGTAATGAAAATTCAAATTCCAAAAATCAGAATATTCTGAAAACCCGAATTTTCTGAAAATTCGAATTCTGAATTCTCTAAAAATCGGAATATCCTGAATATTCGAATTCTATAAATCCCGTAAAAATCGGAATTCAACGAAACTTTTAGTTCCAAAAATTTCAGAAATTCCCGAATTCTGCAAAATTGGAATTTCATGAAACGTTGAGTTTTTTTTTTGAAAAATCAGAAAATTTCAAAAAAAAAATTGGCAACTGCGCTCCACTGGACAGACCAAAATTTGTAAAAAAAATTCAAAAAAAACCTTATGGACCAACACCAACTGAGCAATATTTCTCTGCTGAAATCGTGTCCGTTTTCCCATCATTCCACTCAAATCGATATCCAGATCACACGCCTCCGTGGCTTTTTGAATCAGCTCATCGGATTTATCATACTCGAAATATTGAAAATGCACTGCTGCCATTTCTAGAAGCACTTCACATCTGACGTCTCCAGATGCGAAGGGGGCGGAGTCAGAAGCGAGGAGGGTCTTCAGGCGGCTCATCTGGAAATTTCAGAATTTTAAAGATTTTTAGCTGAAAATCTGACAAATTCCGACTTTTACAAAATTTCGAATTTCAGAAAAATCCGATATTTTTGAAATTCAAATTTTTGAAATATTCAAAAAAGGCTTAAAAATTCGAATTCTAGAAACTTGATATTTTTACATTTTCAGCCTTTTTTTCTAGATTTTTTCAGTGTTTCTGGTCTCAGAACGAGAACTACAGTAATTTTATAGTTATCCTGTATTTAAAAATCAGAATTTTTTGAAAAATCAGAATTTTCAGAAAATTTAGATTCCAAAGAATCGGGTTTTCCTAAAATTGCGATTTTTGAACTCTGAAAATCTGATTTTTCTGAAAACTTGAATTCTGCGAAAATCTAAATATTTATGAAACTTCGAAATTCTAGAAAATCAGAATTTTTTCCAAAATCTTGTTTCATTTTATTTTTTTTTCGGTTACTGTAGTGCCAGGTTTTCGAGTTACTGTAGTTTAAAAAAAAACTTTTAATAACGTTTTTTCGAAAGTTCGAATTTTGAAAAAAATCGAATTCTCTGAAAATCTGGATTTTGAATATTGAAATTCCAGAAAATTCGGAATTTTTTGAAATTCCAAATTTTGTAAAAAAATTCAAAACTCAAAAGAAAACTCACAATCCCGTCAACTTGTGTCTTAATCGTCTGCTCTGGGTCCACCAACAGCTGCTGCCATACCAAATAGAATTCCAGACAAATTTTCAGCTCTTCTGGCGATGAATCCGAAGACGTTTCGAGTTTTTCCACGTGGCAATGTGCCAAATGAAGAGCCCAAAGGGATTTTGATGCGGCATTTGGGGAGTTGAGTGCACGGGACAGGGATTGGCGAGCCACGTCTTCTGAGATCCATCCAGCTGTGTTGTATTCTGAAAATATAGATTTTCGAGGATTTTGAAAATCTAATAATCTAAGAATTTAAGATTTCAAAATTTCAGAAAATTTCGATTTTTCCAAATTCGACATTTCAAAAATTTGGGAAAATTCATTTTTTGGAATTTTCGATTTCTCAGAATCTAGGAATCTCAGAACCTCAGAATTTTAGAAACTTCGAATTTCGGAATTTCAGAAATTTAAGAATTTCCGAGTTTCAGAATTTTAGCTTCTCATAATTTCAGGTTCATTTTTTGGAAAATTCCAATTTCTTCAAAATTCAAAGTTTCCAAAAAAAAATCGGATTTTCACAGAATTTCCAAATCTAAGAATTTCAGAATTTCCTAATTTCGGAAGCAAGAAATCTGAAAATCTAGGAATCAGTTCATCCAGATTTCCCATTGTCCAGAATTCAAGAATTCAAGAATTCAAGGATCCTAAGGATCCTAAGAATCTAAGAATCTAAGAATCTCAAAATCTAAGAATCTAAGAATCGAAACATTCCATACCCAAAACACATTCCTGGAACACTGAATTCTGAGAAATTTTTAGTTCCATAGAAAAAGAAAAAATTCAAAAAAGGGAAAAATACAAAAACGTTTTTCAGAACTTCTGAATTTCAGAATCTCAGAATTTCAGAATTTCAGAATCTCAGAATCTCAGAATCTCAGAACCTCAGAATCTAAGAATCTAAGAATCTAAGAATCTAAGAATCTAAGAATCTAAGAATCTAAGAATCTAAGAATCTAAGAATCTAAGAATCTAAGAATCTAAGAATCTAATTTTTCAGATTTCCCAACTTCCAGATGTCCACTTTTTCAGTACCATTCTCCTCTTCTCAACCACCCCATCAAAATTCCCAAAAACGTCTCCAAATGAAAAAATGCGCGTCGTGGAAGGGGTAAAGAATCGAACCCGAGTCGTCGATTCCCAACTAGACGTCTTCTATCCACCCGACCATCGCCGCTCGATTCATCGGCTCCTCGTGCCAGGCACACATAGTGCACCGACTTTTCGCATGCATATCTCTGCTTTCTTTTTTTTTTGTTGCTCCGTTTTTTTTTCTTTTTTTCTACACACACAGCATTTTTTGAGCATTTTTCCATGGATGCCGAGGAGCGGAGCAAACAGAAACACAAAGTAACGAAAAGAGCAGCGAGTGGCTGGCGCCGGAGCTGTCTCCAGGGGGGGGGGGGCGAGAGAGTATGCGGCGCCAGGAGGGTGCGAGAGAAGCTAGGGAAATGCACTTCTGGAGAGCAGGAGAGAGAGAAAGGAGTAGGTTTACTACTATATTCGTATAGTTGGGTTCTATTTTCCAAAATTTCCATTTTCAGCACTTTTTGTCTAGGTTTCCAGTCGCTGATGGTCTCAAAACGAAAACTACCGTAACCCAAAAATAATTTTTTTTTCAGATTTTTTTTCGATTTCACTGATTCTCGGAAGTTTGAATTCAGTAAAAATCAATGAGTTTTTTTGAAAATTAGAAATTCCGAAAAATTGGAATTTTCATGAAATTTTCGGTTATAAAACGGCTGATTTTTTCGAAATTTTGAATTTCAATTTTCAACTATTTTGTCCAATTTTCAGTCATTTTAAGCCAATTTCCAGTAATTTTTATATAATTTTCAGTTTTTTAAAGCCAACTTTCAGTAATTTTTAACTAAGTTTTAGTTATTTCGAGCCTATATTGAGCTATTTTAAGCCAATTTTCAGTTACTTTGACAGTTTTCAATCATTTTTAGCCTATTTTTATATCTTTTAAGCCAATTTTCAGACGTTTTAAGCCTATTTTGAGCTATTTTAAGCCGATTTTCAATCATTTTAAGCCAATTTTTAGTAATTTTGGACTAATTTTAAGCCCACTTGAAAAAAAACAACGAAATTAATGAAAATGTCACCTTTTTTCAAACCAAAAACTACATTTTTTCAGGGACTTCTAAACGAGAAATGGCGCCAAACTCGAAAATTTTGAATTTCAGGAATCCCATTTTTCAGCCATTTCTGTCTGTATATCTGTTTATCCAGATTCCCACTCTTTATTTTTTTTTTGATTTTTCGAAAATTTTGGTGGTGATTTTCAGTAAAAAATTAAATTCAAAAAATTTCGAAATTCCGTAAAAAAACAATTTCAAAATTTCAGATTTTTCAGCCGAATTTAAGTCAATTTCGGCCAAGGTTTCTGAATTTTTCTTTCAAAAAAACTCTCGGTTTTCAGCGTTTTCTAGCCATTTTCAGCCAAAAAAACGCCTATTTTTGACATTTTTCTGTCTATCTGTATGTCCGGATGTCCACACACACTGACCCGTATATCCGATATGATTGCTGGCGAGCACATGATTCACAAGTGTCGAAACCAGCTTCCATGGGTTTTCCTGTTTTCTGGTGATCTGAAAAATTTGAAAACTCGAAAACTCGAAAATTGAATTCCTACAAAAAACAAAAATCGGAAATTTCAGAAATTTTGAAAAATCCACATTTTCTGAAATTCTAAATTCTCTGAAATTCTAATCGGAATTTTCTAGAATTTCAAATTCCTAAAAATCGAAATTTTCAGAATATTTTGGAATCTTAAAAATCTGAATTATCTGAAATTTGAATCCTAAAAAAATGGACTTTTCAGAATATTTTGAATTCTAAAAAACGAAATTTTCTAGATTTCAAATTATTCCAAAAATTCAAACTTGAATTTTCCGAAATTTTGGAATCTTAAAAATCGAAATTATCTAGAATTTCAAACTCCAAAGAATTGGAATTTTCTAAAAATTTAAAATTCTAAAAAAAATGGATTTTTCAAAATTTTTTATTTCTAAAAACGGAATTTTCTAGATTTCAAATTTGTAAAAATTTGAATTTTCCAAAAAACAAGAATTCTAAAAAACGGAATTTTCTAGAATTTCAAATTCCTAAATATCGGAATTTTCAAAAATTTTAATTCCTAAAATTTGGCTTTTTTCAAAACTTCAATATTTCCAGAGATCTGGAAGCACTCGGTTGTTAGTCCAATATTCAAGAAGGGATCCAAATATGACGCTAATAACTACAGACCCATAACGCTCACTCATGCACTTTCCAGACTCTTCGAAACATTAGTCCTTGAAGAGCTAAAACGTGTTATCGGTCCGAGTATTTCTCCGAATCAGTACGGATTCGTCAGTAAGCGATCCTGTGTTCTAGCCGTCCTTGAGTCCACTTCCAAAATACAGAAAACCTTAGCAAATAAGCAACAATTCGTAGATGTTATTTACTTTGATTTTCGCAAGGCATTCGACACTGTCCCACACAATCTCTTGCTGCTGAAAATGAGGCGAATAGGTATTAATGAACGATGCTGCGATTGGTTCGAGTCCTTTCTCAGCAACCGCTCATCCAACGTCAAGGTTAATGGCCTAATGTCAACCAGCGAGATTGTTGTCAAATCCGGAGTCCCCCAAGGAAGTTTCACTGGCCCCTTTTTGTTTCTGATCTACATTAACGACTTACTCGGCCTGTTTCCTCCCAATGTTCATGTCACGGCGTTCGCCGACGACCTAAAAATAACCGGTTCCGACCCATTGGATATGCAGAGAAGTATCGAAATCGTCGAGCACTGGTGTGACACCTGGAGACTCAAACTAGCCGAAAATAAGACGGCCGTTATGCATTATGGTAAACGCAATCCTAAGACAGTTTACTTTATTAAGGGATCCCCCATTACTCCGCATCGCTCATTCAAGGACCTAGGTATACTAGTTGATGATCAACTTCAATTCGACAAACACATCAATCTTATTGCCTACTCTGCTAAACTCAAGTCCCGCCAAATACTGAAAACGTTCCAATCGAAAAACCCTTGTTTATATTTCCGTCTCTTCGACACCTACATTAGACCGGTCCTCGAATACGGTTGTGAACTTTTCGATCCATCCAATGCCACACTTGCCAATAAACTAGAATCTCCTCTTCGTCTTTCAGTGAAGTCTTCCAGAGATGTAATATGCCCTTCAATTCATACACCGATCGCCTATCCCAGTTCTCTATGCTAACCACCCTTCATCGCCGCACCCTTCTAGTTCTTCGTACCTATCACAAAATTGTTATAAACTCATACCATTTTCCCTCTATGTCGTCCTACATTCTTCCCAGCCATTCTAACAGAGCCCCGTATTTGTTCAAAATCAACGGTCAATACTTTGACTGCTTCCTTCACAGAAACTTGTCTATGCGGAACCGTGTATGTAAGGTGATAAATTCTAAGCTCAGTCCGGTGGCGTTTGCTAAGCGAGTAGGAGCGATTCTTTATGATATTCTGATCCCTCCCACTTGACCTACAGGACTCTAGTCGGTCCGTCTGGTCATTTTACTTTTTTTATTTGTACAGGTCCCATTTCTTGCCAAATTATCTATCGATTTCCCCCATGCATTGCAAATAAATATATATATATTATTAAAAATCGGAATTTTCCGGAATTTTGGAACCTTAAAAATCTAAATTTTCTAAAATTCAAATATCTAAAAATTGCAATTTTCCGAAATTTTGGAATCAAAAAATCGGAATTTTCTAGATTTCAAATTTCTAAAATTGTGAATCCCTAAAAATTGAAATTTTTCGATTTTTTCTACCTCTTCCACCTCTTTCTCCTCCGCTAGACCAGCGATTGTCGCTATCAAATCGGTCATCTGAAAACGTTTTTTTTTAAAATTTTTCAAAAAAATTTTTTTTGAAACTTCAATTTTTTAGAATTTTTGAGTAAAGAATCAAATAAAATATAAAAATAGGCCGTTTTAAAAACGGATTTTTAGGTCAAAACAGCAAAAATGATAACAAAAAAAAGAAATATTTGTTTCATTAGAAAGGAGGGGAAAAAATGGTGACAATTCCAAAAAAGAGGAAGAGAGTGTGTGAAAAATGAGAGGGGCGAGAGAAAGAGGAGGTAGAAAAATAACAGGGAAGAGAAAAATTTACACAAATTTCTATGATATTTTTTTTTTCTGGAAGGCACTAGGAGTTTTTCTATATAAAAACATTTTTCTGCCAAAAAATTATTACATTTTTCTGGGAAATTTTGAAAATTCATATTTTCTGAAAATTCGAAATATCGAAAAGATCCGAATTTCGCAAAACCCAATTTTTCAAAAATCGATCTGTTCGGGACTCAAATTTTCAGAAAATTCCGATTTTAAAAAAATTCGAAAAAAACTGATTTTTTCAAAATTTAAAATTTCAAAAAAATTAAAAATTTTATTTTTTTCAATTCGAAAATTCGAAAAAAACCGAGTTGGCTAAACTCGGTTTTTTTTCAAAATTTGAATTTTCCAAAAATTCCGAATTTTACAAAACTCAAAATTTTGAAAAATTGCGATTTTCTAGATTCCGAAACTTTGGAAAATTCCAATTTCTAGGAATTTGAAATTTTGGAAAAAATTAGATTTTTTGGGATCAAGATATTCAGAAAATACCGATTTTTCAGAATTCAAAATTTTTAAATTCCGATTTTTTTAAATCCAAAATTTCGAAAAAAATCCATTTTTTCAATTCAAAAATTCGAAAAAATCTAATTTTACAAAATTCGAAGCGAAAAAGCAAAGCATACCCGAATTATTAATAGAGATCCGGGGTGCCTGGGGGATGAACAAAAAAAAATGAAAATCAATTTTTTTTCCAAAAATGGGAAAATTTTTAAAAATTGAAAAAAAAAACAAGAAACAGGAGAAAAATTATTTTTTGAATCCCTTGAGAATCGGATAGATTTGTCCGAACGCGTCGTCAATGTCCTTCTTCGTCTTGGCCCCAGTGATCACTACCTGGAAGAAAAAAGGGAAATTTGAATTTTTGAAAAAATCGAATTTCAGAAATTGCCAAAAAAAAAAATATTTTTTGATTGAAAAATTCTGAAAATTTTGACTCAAAAATTCCAAATTTCTGTCGAAAATAAAAAATTGGTTAGAAAACATTGCTGAAATTCCGTTTCCAAATTTCAAAATAACTTTGAAAAATCTCGAAAATCGTTTATAAAAATGACCAATTTTAAGTGTTTTTCAGCAAATTTTCAGTCATTTCAAGCCGATTTTCAGTCAATTTAGGCAAAACTTTTTTTTCAGCCATTGTGGCCCTATTTCTACTATTTTAAGCCGAATTTGGACTAATTTTGGCCGATTTTGGAGGCTTTAAAATCAATTTTCAGTAATTTCAGTCAATTTTCAGTCATATTAAGCCTATTTTCAGTCATATTAAGCCTATTTTCAGTCACTTCAAGCCATTTTCATCAATTTCGAGCCAATTTTTAGTAATTTCAGTCAGTTTTCAGTCATATTAGGCCTATTTTCAGTGATTTGTAGCCCATTTTCAGTCATTTCAAGCCAATTTTCAGCTACTTTCATCCATTTTTAGCCAATTTCCTGTCATTTGGAGCCGATTTCGAGCCATTTTCAATTTCCAGTATTTTTGAGCCGAGTTTTAGTCACTTCGATTTTCAGTCATTTTCAGTCATTTTCAGTCATTTCAAGCCGATTTCCTGCCATTTTAGACTAATTTTAAGCTATTTCCAGCCAATTTTCAGCCAACTTTTCGTAATTTTCAGTGATTTTTAGCCAATTTTCTGTCATTCTGAGTCATTTTAAGCCAATTTTCAGTGATTTTCAGCTATTTCAAGTTTTTTCAGTAAATTTAAGCTAATTTTCAGATCATTTTCAGCCATTTTCCCCTCACCTTTCCCGACACAAAGATCAGCAAAACCACTCTGGGCTTGACCATTCGATAAATCAATCCCGGAAACAGTTCAGGCTCATAGGTACTGAACTGAGCGTGGGTGATGCAGAGTCCTTCCAGCTGAATCGGAAAACGTACGTCGCAGGAGCCAACCATGTTTTGGACCTGCAAAAATCGGATTTTAGGCAATTAAGGTTACGGCAGCCTTCGTTTTGGGACCTTGAGACCGATTTTTTGAGTTAGAAATGAATAAAAAATCTCTAAAAACCTCGAAAATTGCTTCAAAAGCCCTCGATTTCTAGAAACTTCTAAAAAGGTGTCAACCTATTATTTGAATTCTCCCGCGAAAACGGAAAATTTGAATTTTTTCAACGTTCTGAATTTTTTCAGCATTTTTACAATTTATAAAAATTTTCTGATTTTTAGAGTTTTTCAGCATTTTTGACAATTTTATGTTTTTTGGATTCGCAAACATAATATTTTTTCATTTTTTTTTTGAATTTTTCTCCAATTTCAGATCCCCCTTTAAATTTGAAGACCAACCATAAACTCTGTAAATTTCGCCTGGAATCCCAGCTTCTGTACAATTCTAGCATATTTTCTGGCCGCTAGACGACTGGCTTCCTCCGATTTCGCCCCTGTGCACACCATTTTTCCACTCGAAAAGATCAAAGCAGTGGTTCGGGGCTCTCGGATTCTCATGATAACCGCTGCGAAACGTTTCGGATTGTATTCAGCGTTTCTGGCATGCAAGGCAATCTTTTTCAGGTCCAGCGGAACCCCGAGATTCACAGTAGACACAATATTCTGAAGTGCTGGCATCGGTATATCCAATTGAGATGCTGGCGTGGCTGGAACCATTGTGGCGGCGATATTACTTGCTGGTGGATGCATTAGGGTGTCCCTTTCGAAGTTATTGTATGCCAGTGGGGTCATTGGAATTGCGAGATTCTGATAAGCTACTGATGGAGGGTTGATGTCCATATTGTGATGAAGAACAGAGCCTGGATTTCCGGGACCCACTGATGCTGGATTTATGTTCAGGTTTAGGGCAGAGTTGGCCAGATGAGAGTGCATTTGCATCGAGGAGCCTTGCAGACCTGAAAATGTTGATTTTAAGAGGTTTTTTTGGCGATTTCTAGCCAATTTCGGCCTAAAAATGTTTCTTTCTGACTATCGGAACATACTGAAAATTGTATTCTAAAAATATATAATTTTTGGATAATTCGAAATCTAAAAAATCGAAATTCTCTGCAATTATGAATCCTACAAAATCCAAATTTTCTGGATATTCAGATTCAAAATTTCCTGAGATTTGAACTTTGAAAAAATCAGAAATTTCAAATTTTAAAAAAGGAAATTCCCCAAATTTTGAATTCGGTGAAAATCGCGATTTTCCGAATTTGAAATTTCAGAAAATTTGTTTTCGCAAAATTTTTAGACCTTTTAAGGTTTCCCAGCTATTTTTGATTATTATTTCCTGATTTTTCCGGTTTTTTGCCTGAAATTTGACAGGACGGTGCTCTCGAAAATTACTGTAGATTACTGTAGAAAGGCTTCTATTTTGCTGTTTTTTGTCTGCATTTTGACATGATTGTGTTTGCAGAAAAACGGTTTTCTACAGTAATCTTCGCGAACACCATCCAAATTTCAGACGAAAAATTCGGAAAAATCGAGAAAGAATCTTCGAAAATAGCTGAAAAACCTTTAAAAAAGTCTAGAAATTTTGCAAAAAATCGAAGAAAAATTGCGAAATTTTGGGAATTTTTCTAAAGTTGACGAGCATTGCAGACCTGGAAAATGTTGATTTTTTCAGACTTTTTTGGCGATTTCTAGCCAATTTCAGCCCAAAAAATCTGTCTATCAAAATTTCCTGAAAACTGTATACGGAAAAATCAAAATTTTCGAAAATTTGAATTTCAAAAAATCGCGATTTTCAGGAAATTTTCAATTTTTTGAAATTTTGCAAAAATTCCTAGTTTTTCTGAAAATTTATACTCAAAAAATCAAAATTTTGTGATTTTTCCTTCGAAATTTTTAGACCTTTTTAAATTTTCCAGCTATTTTTGATCATTCTTTTTCGATTTTTCTGAATTTTATCTGGAATTTGACAGGACGGTGCTCGCGAAGATTACTGTAGGTTACTGTAGAACGCCTTCTATTTTGCTGTTCTTTTTCTGCATTTTGACGTGATTGTGTTTGCAGAAAAACGGTTTTCTACAGTAATCATCAAATTTCAGAAAAAAAATTCGGAAAAATCAAGAAAGAATCTTCGAAAATAGCTGAAAAACCTTTAAAAAAGCCTAAAAATTTTGCAAAAAATCAAAGAAAAAATTGCGAAACTTTGGGAAATCTTCTGAAATTGATGAGCCTTGCAGACCTGGAAAATGTGGATTTTTACAGACTTTTTTGGCGATTTCTAGCCAGTTTCAGCCCAAAAAATCTGTCTATCAAGATTTCCTGAAAATTGTATACTGAAAAATCAAAAATTTTCGAAAATTTGAATTTCAAAAATCGCGATTTTCAGGAAATTTAATTCGGGAAAATTGGGAAAGAATCGTCTGAAAATTTGCAAAAAATTGAAGAAAATATCAACATTTTTTTGCAAATAATTGCGAAATTTTGGGAATTTTTCTGAAAATTTTCAATCCGAAAAACAATTTTTTTTCGGAAAATTCCAATTTTTTGAAATTCAAATGCCGCTAGAATCAAATTTTTCCGATTTTTTAAAACCAAAATTTTCGGAAAATTCCAACTTTTTGGAATTCTAAATTTCTGAAAAATCCGATTTTTACGAAATTTCAATTCCAAAAAAATCCGATTTTCTCCATTTTTCTCTCCACACTCACTATGCATCTGATGTGATTGCATCGGCTGAATCGACTGTGGATTCACCATGCTTCCTGGTCCCAAAATCGAGTTCGGTCCCATTACAGAATTCGGTCCGTGTCCTGTGAGAATCGACGATGGCCCGCCGAGTACCGAGGATGGACCTCCGTGGGCCGGCGTCTCTCCGCCCATCATTGAACGGCTCGCCGGACTGTTCATGTTCATTTTTCTTCTGGAAAATTTTGTTGGAAAAAGGGGGAAAAATTGAGAAAAAGATATTCAAAATGTGTTAAAAAACACCAAAAATATGGAAATTATATATTCAAAAAAGGCCAAAAATTATGGATTTTTTTCTAATAGAAAACAAAAAAAACCATTAAAAATCAACAAAAATTCAATTTTCAACAATAAGAACAGCATAATTAGATCAATTATCAAATGCTCCACAATATCGGCGCGTCCACAACCGCCACATTTCTCTCCAGAATGCCACGTGGCACTTCTGAATTGATGCCAACCGCCCGGACTACCTTCTCCTCGTGCTTCGGCGCAAACTTTCCGAATCCTTTTCTCCGCGGCTTCTTGGCTTCTGGAGCCCTTCCGACGCCTTCATCGTCGTCGTCACCGTCCTGAAGCTTTCGGTACTTCTCAGCCTCGCCATCCTCGCCTCCGAACGATTTTGCCATGTTGACGGAGAACAGCTCGTCGGAGCAACGGAATCGAACGTAGGATTCGACTTTTTGAAGAGATTTGTCGACGAAATGGGCACGTTTTCGGACTGATTGGTTCCAGTGACACTGAAAATAGAAATAGGAAAATTCTGATTTTTTTTTTGGTTCCTGGGTCCTTAGTTCCCTGGGTTTCGGGGTCCCTGGTTCCCTGGTTTCTTGGTTTCCCGAGTCTCTGCGTCCCTGAGTTTCTGGTTCCCTGCTTCCCTGGGTCCTTGGGTCCCTGTGGCGCGTGCAAAGTGCCCAAATCAGTCCAAAGGGACGCCCAGTTTCCCAAGATTTCCAATTGGGCAAAATTTGAACCAGTGCGACAATTTAATTTTTTATCGCATCAAAATATGCAGAAGAGCAAAAA